ATGTTGCGGCGATTGAGCAAACAAGTTCTGAGTGAGATACAGCACAGATGTGTTTCGGTGATGACTTTTCTTGATGAACCATCGCAGCACTTCGGTTTCTTCTTCTTTCGTATTGTCCCCCAGCAAATCATCAATGACCAGCCAATGTGGGGCCACCCCTTTTTCGGGCAAGGCACGATCCGATTCTTTCATGCTGTGGACAAACTCAAGAGCGACCCCTAAGCGGTCTGCCATCTCTTCCAGTTCATGATGAAGCGGTTGCCATTCGCTGTACACCCACACGATGCGATGGGGTGACGTATCCAACACCTCGGGGCGATGCATCTGCTCCATACATGATTTCACACAGGAACTTTTTCCTGATCCCGTGGGTCCGCAATGAACATCGTAAAAGGATGGCGTAGGGTCAAAGGGCTGGTCATGACCTCTTCATCATCATGTGATGCCATCCTGTGTTCTGGCTGACTGACACCAGGCAACTGATCCTTTCAAGCATGACCTTTCTCTTTTATCTGTTATTTTTTTCTTCCTATCTCTCCCATGACCCATACAATTTCTTATGAAAAAAAGAAACACAACGGTCGGTCCGATTGAGAAAACCGGGGCTCAGGCCAAGTGTCGGAACGAACCCATCAGCACGATGCGTTTTCGACCAATCAGGAAGCAGGGTGTCAGTGCCTCTCCTATAAAAAGAGCGAAGCCACGCACACCGTCACAGTCAAGCACTGAAAGAGAGATCAACCATGTCGTCTCGATGCAGCTGTCTGACGTGCCAGACCAACAGTCAACAATGCCAGCGGAGGATGAAAGTCTATTCGTGGACAATAGTGGGCTACCCACGGGGTGAATCGGAGACGATCCTATCGCAGAGCCCACACTGGTTTAAGAACAAGTCTGAGGCTATGTCAGCATTACAACAAACTATTCAACGCGGAATTGACATTCCCGACTGTTGGGGTGGTCCGTATTATTATCTAGTATCGAGATCAAGGAAAGTAATGTAATCAAGGTGACAACCCTTGTCCAGCTTGTTTCCAGTTTGTTTTCCAACGGCCCTTTTCAGGGCCACCCATCTCTCCCGAAAGACAACTTTCCTCCTTTGCTTTGACGACCCTCCAACCCCCACACCGTGAACCCACCTCCGCCTCCTCCCTTCTTCCCTTCACCACCACCCTCCCTTCAACACCACCACCACCACCCCCACGTCTATGTGTAGAACAACAACAACAACAACAACAAAAGATTTTTGACGCGCTTCTTTCAATGTCGATCCTGTTCACCTTTTACGTGCGCTTCTCCGGGTTTTCCCCCATCCTCCCCGGAAACGGAGGCGACGCCCTTTGAAGGCGCATGCCACCGGACACGGATGCGACGCCATCTTGGAGGCGCACGCCACCGGACACGGATGCGACGCCATCTTGGAGGCGCCCGCCACCGGAAACGGATGTGCCGCCATCTTGGATGCGCACGCAAGTCACGTGACCGGATGTGACGTCACAGAGGTCACGTGATCCACTCGACCAATCAGAAGGCAGGAGCGGTTCTGACGTAAGGCGTACGACTACTAACGATGATACACATCAGGATCGCGGAGAAAATACAAGATTCGTTCTCGTTGATTACATATATCAAGGCACCAATTCATCTTTCATAAACTGTTTGTGTCTTTGTGCTTAATATATCCACATATCAACGAAAATATGTAATACATGTATCCACAAAAAATATACATGTACAGGCTAGATATTTGCCCACAGCAACACCTGCATAACTGTTTTTTGACGTGTGGTGTGGCAGATTGTAATTGACCGAGAGCAAGTATTGTAGAATCACCCGTAAATAAGGCCGACACTGTAATTAGACACAACGTACTAATGAGAATATGAGAATTATCATAAGAAGGCTGTTGCGTTTTTCTTAACTATTACCATTTTCATACCAAAAGTGACAATGCAGTAAAAGTTGTTTTAGTGTCACAATATTCACTCACGTTTTCCTCAATCGCATTGAAACATAATTCCCACTGGTCAGTTCGACATTGCATGTAATTAAATAATTATTTCGAGATTTCGTTAGAATGTGAGATATTCAGCCAAACGTTATGCAATAAAAGACGAATAGTTTTTCCATTAAAATACGCGCACTCGTTACTGTATATTGCATACCTAGTGCCACGTAATTGCCCAGTGTAATGTATCAACGGGACATGAAATGGGAAATGAAATAGAAACTAACTAAACTTTAATGTTGTGGAAAATAACTCCAATGAATTGGAGTACACGCACATGAATTCGTATCATAAACTGTCAAAACGTTTTGAGAGGTAAGGCCGGATTCATTAAAGATCGCTACAATATGTAAAACAGGTGAAATTTGTAGAACTTCTATAAAGGAAACATCCAACCAAATGCCCTTTTTAAATAGTAATGTAATGATATAATATAAAGTATATTTCACATGATACAGTATACTTTGCACAAAGTTAGTTGATGCTTTAAAGGGACTGACGAAAACATGGGCGAAATATTTTTATAACGCCGTAAAATAGTTGAATTAAGTTAAAATTTGTTAAATTATGTGACATGAAACTTTTAAGAACTATGTATATGCGACACTAAAACACAAGTTTTGAGCAAAGAGAAACATTCTCGCCCATGCGCCTGCCCATGGGCCAAACCTTTTCTCGCCAATGGGCGAAATATTTCAATAACGCTATAACATAGTTGAATTAAGTAAAATTGAGTAACATTATGTGCCATGAAATAGTAAGAACACCTGCATGTATTTGCGAAACAAAAACATAAGTTTTGAGTAAAGGAAAATATTCTCGCCCATGGGCAAAACCTTTTTCTCGCCCATGGGCGAAATATTTCAATATCGCTATAACATAGCTGAATTAAGTTAAAATGAGTTAAATTTTGTGTCTTGATACTTGAATAAATACATTTAATGTATTTGCGAAACAAAAACATGAGTTTTAAGTAAAGGAACATATTCTCGCCCATGGGCCAAACCTTTTTCTCGCCCATGGGCGAAATATTTCAATATCGCTATAACATAGCTGAATTAAGTTAAAATGAGTTAAATTTTGTGTCTTGATACTTGAATAAATACATTTAATGTATTTGCGAAACAAAAACATGAGTTTTAAGTAAAGGAACATATTCTCGCCCATGGGCCAAACCTTTTTCTTGCCCATGGGCGAAATATTTCAATATCGCTATAAAATAGTTGAATTAAGTTAAAATGAGTTAAATTTTGTGTCTTGATACTTGAATGACTACATTTAATGTATTTGCGAAACAAAAACATGAGTTTTAAGTAAAGGAACATATTCTCGCCCATGCGCCTGCCCATGGACCAAACCTTTTTCTCGCCCATGGGCGAAATATTTCAATATCGCTATAAAATAGTTGAATTAAGTTAAAATTAGTTAAATTTTGTGTCATGATACTTGAATGACTACATTTAATGTATTTGCGAAACAAAAACATGAGTTTTGAGTAAAGGAACACTTCGCCCATGGGCAGGCCCATGGGCGAGACAGTGTAAATATTGAGTTTTTTAACAATTTTTTTTCCTTTTTTTCTTCCTTGGTATGTTCCCATGAAAACAGCATGTTTAATTTTGTAAATACCTTTGATCGAGAGTCGGCAAAGACCGTAGAGTTTCTGGACTTTTGGGTTTCCAGAATTAAAATGGGACGTGTTATAACTAAACAATGCATATCTTACAAATGAAACCCACTTTTATAACCTAATTCATCATATTTACTAGCATGAAATAGCAATGCTTTGGATATTTACCCAGAGGCATTCTTAATAGCTTAATCCAATACTTAATTATTCTCACAACACCATGTTCATACATTCTCGTTCTTCCAAATTCACCTAATACAGCAGCATTTGAAGACTTGTATCTTATTTTCAAAGTATATTTACAACATTTAGTATGTATAATTTCAATGCTTTAGTTGCCCTATACGGTGTCATTGGTTAGCAGAAAAATATTTGACGTCATCCTATATTATGGTCTATGACGCTGCTATTTGTAAATCAGTTACCTCCGTTGTAAGCCTTATTTCTCTCTCTATTTTTTATTGATAAAGTCACGAACGTGGTTTCTTTGAAAATTAATGTCTTTGTAATTAATTTTATATTAAAAACACAAAACAGTGTCGAATGACGAATTTCTGTACCAGAATTATCATGTGAAATATGTGAGGTGAGTGTTGGGGAAATCCAAAATGGCTGTTACTGACTCATATTAGGTCGGTAACAACCATCTTGGATTTTTACTGACGGTATACGGCCTCGTATGGGGTTAGTAGTAGTAGTCTCTGATTGGTCAATCTCACTTTGAGGCATAATAATGCATCATATTACTTGACAAGGGCCCATAGTCACGCCGTTGTTAGGTGACTTATTAGATTGTAGAGAGGTACTTATTTGATCTGACAAGTTTTAACTTCGGAGCCTTTGGTATTGATGGTGGCCTATTGTAACCATCGCAAAGAAAAATATTTCAGGCAAATGTCTCAGCAAAACTGATAAACATTTAAATCATTAATATTAATATTCGTAGCACAATTTGGTTGTAAAGATGTTTAGATTATGAACATGTTTGGGTTTAAAACAATTCCAAACATGTGTAGGATAGATGCATATTTAGTGGTCACAACACGCTTTAATTATAGGATAAGGAATAAAAACGTTTTTTACAACAGTGTGACCCATTAAACGTCTTCTGATGAGTGGAGTGGAGTGAGTATGGTTTTACGCCGCTTTTAGTAATATTCCAGCAATATCACGGCGGGGGACACCAGAAATGGGCTTCACACATTGTACCCATGTCGGGAATCGAACCCGGGTCTTCGGCGTGACGAGCGAACGCTTCAACTACTAGGCTACCCGACCGCCCCACCTGTTACGGAAAGCATGGATTGCTGAAGACCTATTCTACCCCGGATCTTCACGGTTACACAATCAATGACACGAACAATGACATGGACAATGACACTAAACAATGACACGGACAATGACACGGACAATGACACCAACAATGACAGGAACAATGGCAAGGACAATGACACGGACAATGATACGAACAATGACAAGGACAATGACTCGGACAATGACACGGGCAATAACATGTACAATGACACGAATAATAACACGAACAATGGCAAGGACAATGACATGGACAATGGCACGCACAATGACATGGCCAGTGACACGAACAACGACATGGACAATGAAACGGACAATGACACGGACAATGACACGGACAATGACATGGATAATGACACGAACAAGGACACGAACAATGACACGGACAATGACAAAAGCAATGACAGGAACAATGACATGGACAATGACATGGACAATGACACGAACAATGACAGGAACAATGACATGGACAATGACAGGAACAATGACATGGACAATGACACGAACAATGACAGGAACAATGACATGGACAATGACAGGAACAATGACATGGACAATGACACGAACAATGGCATGGACATAGAGGCAGCATCGACTGCATGGGAAACAAACCTGTGTTATACATCTTTTTGTCAATATTTATTTAAAAACATGGCATTATAACAAGGCAATTGGAACTTTTGTCCTGAATTACATTGGCAGTGGCATTATAGGCAGTGTGGGATTATACCCAGGGAATTTTGCACTGTGAAAATCCGTTCTGAGAAAAATACGTGGCATGATATACCAGGGGCATTACTACCAGGGAGGACTGTATTTGCTCTTTTCATCGACATTCACACAGCTTGTACTTAACTTCGGTACCTGGCAGTATTTATGGTCATAACTTGGACACATTGAGAAGCGGGGAAATGTTTCGAATACACTGATACAGAAAGTAATTATCAATAAGCATTTATAATTCATCGGGAATTGTTGTTAGTTCCATCAACGGTAACATGAAACGAGAAAGAGAGGGTTATGTCCCTTTGAATAATGTTTAATACATACATTATTCGTATACACCTATATGGTGTATTAGGATCAGTGCCTTGGATGTTGGATGCTAACGGTACACTATGGAACATTATATGTGGAACATATGCAGATATAAGCGAACAGACAACTAAAGATAGATAGTTTTTACGTCTTCCCGAGGCAAGCGTGTCCACTAGCCTATATCAAAGCCTAGTTTCTACGTCTTCCCGAGGCAAGCGTGTCCACTGGCCTATATCAAAGCCTAGTTTCTACATCTTCCCGAGGCAAGCATGTCCACTAGCCTATATCAAAGCCTAGTTTCTACGTCTTCCCGAGGCAGGCGTGTCCACTAGCCTATATCAAAGCCTAGTTTCTACGTCTTCCCGAGGCAAGCGTGTCAACTAGCCTATATCAAAGCCTAGTTTCTACGTCTTCCCGAGGCAAGCGTGTCCACTAGCCTATATCAAAGCCTAGTTTCTACGTCTTCCCGAGGCAAGCGTGTCCACTAGCCTATATCAAAGCCTAGTTTCTACGTCTTCCCGAGGCAAGCGTGTCCACTAGCCTATATCAAAGCCTAGTTTCTACGTCTTCCCGAGGCAAGCGTGTCCACTAGCCTATATCAAAGCCTAGTTTCTACGTCTTCCCGAGGCAAGCATGTCCACTAGCCTATATCAAAGCCTAGTTTCTACGTCTTCCCGAGGCAAGCGTGTCCGCTAGCCTATATCAAAGCCTAGTTTCTACGTCTTCCCGAGGCAAGCGTGTCCACTGGCCTATATCAAAGCCTAGTTTCTACGTCTTCCCGAGGCAAGCGTGACCACTAGCCTATATCAAAGACTATGGATATGTGCGATATTCCAATCATATTTAGCACAGGAAAGTGGGCTTGATGTGGCAAGGGTGTAAACAAGACTTAAGGCTAGTTCACTCTCTTGCCTCGGGAAGAGTGTGTGATTGTTTCTCCACATTGTGCCAAGGACTATTGACAGTGTCAGGGATAACGACATTTACATAATTGTGTGGTAACTCGGTGGTCTCGGTTTGCTCCATCCACTGTTTGGTACAGCTATTGGTCAAAACGAGTGTTTGGTGTTTGTACGAGAAAAAATAAAAATAGTGTTATGGTCACATAAGAAAGTTGCATTTCTAAGATTCATATCTGAATTTTGTGAATATGATGTTCAGAGAGCCCTGTAATATGTATTTAAAACCATTATTCCGTTATCTTCAAATCTTATTTAATCAGTCCATAGAAAACAATATCTACATGGAATATAACTGGTGATGTTATTTTGCATAATGCTTCTGTCCTAGCGAGAAGAAATGCCCTCGGACCTCGAGACTCCTCCTCAATCACTATCGCTGCCAACTACGGGTCTGTCGTGGATTACCTTGAGACAGTCCTGGAGAGGTCGAAGGTCATGTTTGAGGCGGGAGCCTACCTGCACTGGTACGACCGATATGGCGTCTCCACGGTGAGCTGTTACTTTGACAACTGCTATATTGGAACCTGTGCCTCTATTAGCAGCATTTCTCCAGTAGTCTGCAGCACACAGATCTCCCGGTGTTTGTTCATCCCTATCACCATCTTTCCACCATCACCTTCTCTTCCTCAAGGCTTGGGTCCACCAATAGGTGCTTGCCTTGTGTGAAGAAATTGAAAGTACAGATTATCAGTGTTCTGGAATGTGTGGAACATCTCGATACAGACTATGTTGCCAGTACCACTGCTTGGAATGAGAGTCTGCCAGTGAAGAGCAGGTGGTTAAATGTGCTGTCCTGTTGATGGCCTGGATCATTGCTCATGCTGTCACCCACTGGTCTGTGTTTCCAGTATATTTACAGGCCTCTATGATACAGCTGGAATATATTGCAGACCAAGCCAATCCTATACAGATGTCATTTCTAGATAAATAGATGGGATTTGTGTGACAAGTGGGGGATTGTCCCAATACAATTAATTTTTTGTACTTTCAGGACACATTTGAGGCAGCATTTGAACCTTTGTCATCAGTGATAGACGATTACAAAGAAGCTTTGTCCTGACCAACTTGGGCCACTACTGGAGGCCGTACTGGCATAATGGATGACCTGACATGTCTTGCTTTATGATTTGAATTACAATGTGGAGTGGATGGTCACAATGGGGAGTGGATGGTCACAATTGAGAGTTGATGGTCACAATGGGGAGCGGTTGGTCACAATGGAGAATGGATGGTCACAATGGGGAGCGGATGGTCACAATGGAGAATGGATGGTCACAATGGGGAGCGGGTGGCAACAATGGAGAATTGGTGGTCACAATGGGGAACGGATAGCAACAATGGGGAAGGATGGTCACAATGGGGTGTGGATGGTCACAATAGGGAGTGCATGGTCAAAAGGGGGAGAGGCTGGTCACAATGGGGTGTGGATGGCAAAAATGGGGAGCGGATGGTCACAGTGGGATGTGGATGGTCACACCTCGGAGTGGATGATAACAATGGGGAGCAGCTGGGCACAATGGGGAGTAGATGGCAACAATGGGGAGCGGCTGGGCACAATGGGGAGTAGATGGCAACAATGGGGAGTAGATGGCACAATGGGGAGTGGATGGCACAATGGGGAGCTGATGGCAACAATGGGGAGCAGCTGGGCACAATGGGGAGTAGATGGCACAATGGGGAGTAGATGGCACAATGGGGAGTGGATGGCACAATGGGGAGTAGATGGCAACAATGGGGAGCTGATGGTAACAATGGGGAGCAGCTGGGCACAATTGGGAGTAGATGGCACAATGGGGAGTGGATGGCACAATGGGGAGTAGATGGCACAATGGGGAGCTGATGGCACAATGGGGAGTAGATGGCAACAATGGGGAGTGGATGGCACAATGGGGAGTAGATGGCAACAATGGGGAGTAGATGGCACAATGGGGAGTGGATGGCACAATGGGGAGCTGATGGCAACAATGGGGAGCAGCTGGGCACAATTGGGAGTAGAAGGCACAATGGGGAGTGGATGGCACAATGGGGAGTAGATGGCACAATGGGGAGTAGATGGCACAATGGGGAGTAGATGGCACAATGGGGAGTAGATGGCAACAATGGGGAGTAGATGGCACAATGGGGAGTGGATGGCACAATGGGGAGCTGATGGCAACAATGGGGAGCAGCTGGGCACAATGGGGAGTAGATGGCAACAATGGGGAGTAGATGGCACAATGGGGAGTAGATGGCACAATGGGGAGTGGATGGCACAATGGGGAGTAGATGGCAACAATGGGGAGTGGCTGGGCACAATGGGGAGCTGATGGCAACAATGGGGAGCAGCTGGGCACAATGGGGAGTAGATGGCACATTGGGGAGTGGATGGCACAATGGGGAGTAGATGGCACAATGGGGAGTGGATGGCACAATGGGGAGTAGATGGCACAATGGGGAGTAGATGGCACAATTTGGAGTAGATGGCACAATGGGGAGTAGATGGCACAATGGGGAGTAAATGGCACAATGGGGAGTAGATGGCACAATGGGGAGTGGATGGCACAATGGGGAGTAGATGGCACAATGGGGAGTAGATGGCACAATTTGTAGTAGATGGCACAATGGGGAGTAGATGGCAACAATGGGGAGTGGCTGGACACAATGGGGAGCTGATGGCAACAATGGGGAGTAGATGGCAACAATGGGGAGTGGCTGGGCACAATGGGGAGTAGATGGCAACAATGGGGAGTAGATGGCACAATGGGGAGTAGATGGCACAATGGGGAGTGGATGGCACAATGGGGAGTAGATGGCAACAATGGGGAGCTGATGGCAACAATGGGGAGCAGCTGGGCACAATGGGGAGTAGATGGCACAATGGGGAGTGGATGGCACAATGGGGAGTAGATGGCAACAATGGGGAGTGGCTGGGCACAATGGGGAGCTGATGGCAACAATGGGGAGCAGCTGGGCACAATGGGGAGTAGATGGCACAATGGGGAGTGGATGGCACAATGGGGAGTGGATGGCACAATGGGGAGTGGATGGCACAATGGGGAGTGGATGGCACAATGGGGAGTAGATGGCAACAATGGGGAGTGCCTGGGCACAATGGGGAACAGCTGGGCACAATGGGGAGTAGATGGCACAATGGGGAGTGGATGGCACAATGGGGAGTAGATGGCACAATGGGGAGCTGATGGCAACAATGGGGAGTGGATGGCACAATGGGGAGTAGATGGCAACAATGGGGAGTGGATGGCACAATGGGGAGTAGATGGCAACAATGGGGAGTAGATGGCACAATGGGGAGTGGATGGCACAATGGGGAGCTGATGGCAACAATGGGGAGCAGCTGGGCACAATGGGGAGTAGATGGCACAATGGGGAGTAGATGGCACAATGGGGAGTAGATGGCAACAATGGGGAGTGGATGGAAACAATGGGGAGTAGATGGCACAATGGGGAGTGGATGGCACAATTGGGAGCTAAAACAATGGGGAGCAGCTGGGCACAATGGGGAGTAGATGGCAACAATGGGGAGTAGATGGCACAATAGGGAGTAGATGGCACAATGGGGAGTAGATGGCACAATGGGGAGTGGATGGCACAATGGGGAGTAGATGGCACAATGGGGAGTAGATGGCACAATTTGGAGTAGATGGCACAATGGGGAGTAGATGG